TAAGCAAGCCCCAACCCTTCTCCCTCACTTCCCCCAACCCTAGAAAGCTTCCCCATTGAGCTTCATGGCCTCCAATGGCTTTTTCCATCTTTGATGAGGATGAGTTACCCACACTTGATGCATGGCACAACCAACGCATGGAATAGCTTCCCCACATCACTAGAAATCCATAGAAACAAACTACATTCGATTCGGAGTTCAGATGCCCCAGAAATCATCTCCGACATCTTTGCACTACTGTTGTTCGTCGGTTTGTGGAGAGTCCGTCATTTTGACAGAGAATCCGTTGAATTATAGTCACAATCCAAGAGCACCCTTCAATCACCTGAATGTTCCATCACATTTGCGGAGAGTCCGGTAACTTTGACCGAAGAGTCCTTCAAATTAGCGGAGGGTCCGATAAATGCACAGCACAACATCCTACCTTGAAAAAATCATGGAAGATGCTTTTGAACTCCAAAAATTGTGAAACAAGTTTTGTTGTGTTACTTAGATTATTGTCTATCATCTAAACATGGATTTGACACTAGATTTATATTTTAATTTTGACCAAAATAATGCATTTTTAGCTTATAAATTGCATAACTTATTCTCTAGGCATCCAAAAATCATGAAACTTGTTGTGTTAACTTCCTTTGAGCATGTGCTATTTATGAAACATGTTTTGTGCATCATCTCATTGCATTCATGCACTTAAGCAGATCTTTTATGCTTTATATAATAGCCCAACACTAGAAACTTTTCACTTTATGCTCGATAAGTATATGTCTTTTCTCCTAGGCATCTTAGGAACATGCTAACACAATCTTATGCACATGCAAACACCCTAGCCTAAGAGTTGCATTTTGTGATGTACTAAACCACCACTGTACAGCATCTAACGAACTGTTCGTCGCACCCGGCGGAATGTTCCATCAATGCTACAGCCTGACTAAAACCCTTAGGCAAAACACTGAGTAATCCCACGGAGTGTTCGTCGCCTATGGCGAAGCATCCGTGAAATTATTCACAGACACAGAGAGGTTAGAAGCCAAAGACTTGAGCTGGCGGAGTGTCCGTGACATCTCGTGGAGGGTCCGTGGAATTATAAACCTAAATTTCCAGAGAACCTAAGAGCTCCCAATTCTTACCAGAGTATCCATCAATTGGCGTGGAGCGTTGAAAGGTCCTAATGGCTAGAGGGGGGGTGAGTAGCCTATAAAAATTCTACAACAACACTTAAGACAAGAGGTTAGTAAACTAAATGGCGTTAAGCAAGATTTGCACTAGCACTAAAGAGAGGGGTGCAAGCCACCTATCCACAAGTCTAGTTAGCTAAGATCACTAGGCACACAATGGCTATGTCACTACTTTACTCCTAGGTGATCTAGCAAGAAAACTAATTACAACTAGGCAAACTACCACTACTCAAGATATATGACAAAGTAAATACAAGAGTATGGTGGAGTGGATTTTACCGCCGTGGCAAGTGATCAATCAATATCAAGAATACCAATGAAATCCTTGAAACAAGATGACACAAGATTTTTACTGAGGTTCACTTGCTTGCCAGCAAGCTACGTCCTCATTGTAGCGATTCACCCACTTTGAGGTTCATGCGCTAATTGGCATCACACGCCAAACCCTCTACCAGGTGCCGCACAACCAACACAAGGTGGGGATCCACAAGCTATGAGCAATCAACTAGAGATGCCTTTCGTGATCTCCCACGGGAAAGGCTAAAGAACCGCTCACAATCCACCGATCAGAGCCGGAGACAAGAACCACCCTCCGCTCAATGATCCTCGCTGCTCCAAGCCATCTAGGTGTCCGTAAAACACCAAGAGTAACAAGAGAAACCACAGCGATGCAAGCCCAAGTGCCACTAGATGCGCCAACATGATGCAAATGCACTAGCTTGCTCTCTCAACTCACTAGAATGATAAGCAATCAAACAAGAGTGGTGGGAGTGGTATATCTTAGCTCTAGGGGATGTCAAGTGAAGCAAATGGCCAAGATAGTCATCCCCTAGCCAACCACCACACTTAAATAGAGATCCTAAGGCTCAAAGAGTCGTTGGCCCCTTCACCCTGCTTACTGTGTAGTGACCGGACGCGACTATCGGGCCGACCAGACGCATCCGGTCGTTGGATTGCCGCCACGTGTCCACCACCATTCAACATGCACCGCCCGATCTCAATGGCTAACTCACACGCATGCCTCTTTATGTTGCACCGGACGTGCCTGCTCAACTGACCAGACGCCACTGTTCACTGAGTCCGGTTGAATCCAGAGAGCATCCAAAGAGCTCTCGGAGCGACCAGACACGTCCGATCGCCACTGACCGGATGTGCCTAGAGTCCAGTCCACACGTTCGAGCACCACGTCACACTGACTAGACACTGCACAATCATGTTCGGTCGGACTCCAATCACTAGAGTTCGGTCATTTCTAGAGAGGTTCTAGAGAGGCAATTTGCTGACCGGACGCGTCCGGTCAACACTGACTGGACACGCCAAGCGTTCGGTCCTTTCTGTCTACGCCTAGGTCACTTGACTGAACGCGTCTAGTCACTACATGACCAGGGTCCGGTCGAGCCAGCTGAGCTAGCCAGACCTAGGGTTAAGTACCGTGCACGTCCAGTCAAGCCGAGACCAGCGTCCGGTCACTCTCTGTGACCTCCTTCTCTTCTCCAAACTCTTCACCCTTGCTTCCATGTGCCAAACACAATGTGTATCACCTTTGTGCACGTGTGTTAGCATATTTTCAAAGCATTTTCAAGGGCATTAAGTTAGCTCACTAGGTCCAATGCACATACAATGAGTTAGATCACCTACTGGCACTTGATAACTGAATCACTAAGATTTCTCCCCAGTTAATAGTGTGGCTATCAATCCTAAATACTCACACCCTCTATGGTGTCTTGAGTGCCAAAACAAAAGAGCCCTATCAAATTATACCTTTGCCTTGATCTCTTTTGTTTTTCTCGTTCTTCTTTTCCCAAGTGTGAGCACTCGATTCATCTACTTGTGGCCATCACCATCTACCATCATTATCATCACTTAGCTCCGCCACTTGGCTTGGATTACCTTTACTAATCCACACACTTAGCCAAAGGTTAGTCCAATGGGTCTCATCAATTAACCAAAACCAAACTAGGGCTTTCAATCTCCCCCTTTTTGGTAATTGATGATAACCTTTTACAAAGATATATATTCAATTAAGATTTGAATTTGAGTTGCTTGCCCAAGCATTTTATTTATGAATAGAATTGGACAATCACTTCAATTCAGTTTTGGTAAAATTAGCTCCCCCTACATATGTGCTTCATGAGTTTGGTTCAATTGTTCACATATGCATGAATTGGAATTGTGGGAGAGTAATATCTACCAAATAATGCTAAGGTGTAAAGAATGGACCTTTAAAGCGTGATACCATCAGAGTTGCCAACATAAACCATCCTGAGCACCATGATTAGCTAGATACCACTTGTAAATAACACAAACAACTAGATACCTCATGAGATCAACATTAGAAGCAAGGCTCTAGTACCGCTTGACAAAAATACATGTATCTAGCTATCACCTATGCATGCTAGTATTTCATTTAATCAATCAAGTTTTACTACTAGCATACACCACACAAGCATGTATATTGAATTTGAACATTTGCAATGCAAGTAAACATATCACTACACCACAACGCCAAGATTAGCGATAGACGGTATGACGCTAAAAGCGGCTACAACGATAGACAATCTGACACTAAAAAGTTATAGCGACAGACTTCTGCAGACGCTGTAAGTCCTGTCGCTAAAAATCTTTAGCGTCAGACAGTACTTTTAGCGACAGATAGTCCGTTGCCTTGAATTTTTTTAGCAACAGATAGTCTGCAGCTACTCTTTAGCGACAGATAGCCTACCAGTACTCTATAGCGACAGATAATTTGAAGTTACAAATGTTTTTAGCGATTGATGGTTTGACGAGATCATTTAAATGCATTTAAAAAAAATAAAAGGCTATTTGGTTGCAAATTAATACAAAAGTAACATCATTGTGCACATTTCTCATACAAATAGATTCATTCATGAACCTGAAAAATAGATCCATGATCAGATAAAGTTACTATGCTTTAGTATGATGTATTATTACAAAAAGTAGGAATCACTCCATTTTAGATGCATATAAACACTGCTTTCAAAAGAAGCAAAGTTACATGCCTGTAAAAATTATAAACCTGCACAATCAACAAGTCTATACTCTTTCACTACAGTATATAAATATTATTAATTTCGTCTAAGTAGTTGACTAGATGAAAAGCAAGGATGGCTTGTCATTTCTCCTGCTACTCAAAAATTCAGAACCTAAAACACATGGTTGAGCTGTTGCTGAACTGAAACAAGCCAAGACCAAGTTGCCGAACAGAGCGAGATTAGCTGCTGCTATTTCAATTGATTTACTGCAGTGCAATAATAGAATGATAAATATAACTTGGTTACAAATTGCAACTTTCAACTTACAATGAGAGAATGAGATGACATAGTTTCATAAATATAATTCACATATTCAGTTTGCTCGAACACTAAAACTTTCAAACCTTACTATTTGCTACTTATCGATTTATACTAGGTCTGTTTATGCAGATGAAAATGTATAGGTACAATTCATAATTTGCTCAATTAATTAGTAACATTCAAAGGATTAACCTGGCAACAATTTTAAATTCTGGGTTGCTTGTAAAACCCAAGTATTGCATAGATGAATAAATATAATGTAAATAGATCAGCAGAAAGCCAATATTTTTTTGAAGAAAATGTACAGTATAGAATCAATGTGAAAAATGAGTTTTTGGTCAAATAGCAAACAGCATACCAAGTACTTACCCTAAGTCATATTTTTTTACAATAATATTTCTAGAGCAGGTTACTGCTACTTCAATACTATGTGTTACTCAATTCCAAATGAGCAGAAAACGCTAGTGCACTACTTAAATCACGGAAGGAACAATGAGACTAGCTATGTTTAGTACTCGAATCTGCTAGGTACTGAATTCATAGACACAAGCTGATATCAAACATATTTTATAGATCATATATTGAGAAAACAAAAAATTCTGAGACCACAATACATGGAAGAAAAATTGACAAAAACAAAAAATTGACAATATATGATCTATAAAATATGTTTGATACAAAAGACATGTCACATAAACTAAAAGACCATGCCAAGTTTCCAAAAGTAAATGGACCGGATCAATTTAGACTAAGGATAAAACTTGAAATTCTTTTAACATGGTCATTTTCACTGGTGTGAATGAAAAAAAGAATAACTTAGATCTCAAACATCCAAGTATGGCAAACACACAAGGATTTCACCATGTTAACACAGAAAAAGGAATGAAAATAATAGCCATTGCTATCTAACATCGAGACTGAAGACACTAGGGGGTGTTTGGTTTGAGGAACCACCCCACCTAGATGAGTTGGTGCATCATGAGTCCATCCATCAAATTTAGTGGAAGGACTCCATTCCTCGTGCTTATACCAATATTAGCTTATGAGGAATGAGATCCTGATGAATCAGCCCATTCCATTCCACAAACCAAACAAACGAGGATGAGAAGATGGAGTATCCCATTCCTCAAACCAAGCACCCCTAAGTGTAAATAATTCTCCAAGAAAAAAGTATTACTCTGGTGATTTTGTCATGCATACCTTCCTCAAGTACTCTAATGCTCCATGGCTCGCTTTACATAGTTCCATGCAAAGCTGAATAGCAGATATCAGAGCACCATGATGTTTTTCCTTCAGTAATGATGCGGCAGCACTCATGAAATTTTCTGCCAAGTCTGGAACTTTTCGGACAATCCTTATAGAGCATAAGGCAGCCTACAAAATAACAAGAGCTAGGCAATCAACGAGACCTCTCCACAGCACACGTTTCACAAACTAACCAAGAAGGATAAGTACTGATGATTGGAGAAGAGTGAAAGTGCCCAACTTAGAAATGTTCAGGGTACAAATGAGGCCAATGGTGATAAGGGTTCTTCAATGACAAATTTGTTGGAGCTAATATCTAAATGTGTATGATTTTCTAGCTCAATCACTCATCACTTATCACTTACCTCTTAAGCATGGTTTTGGTGGTGTTATTAGCTAAAATAGCGAAATGGAAAACTATTGTTCTGGTCCTTGAAACATCTTAATAGTTAATTAACTTTGCGTTTGTAGAATTAGAAGCGGAGCTACTACTACACTCCAGGAATGGAATATCATTACAAGCGCTCAAACAAAATTCACTAGGGGCTAAACTATCATGTCAAAGTGAGCACCTTCTTCTTTGTATTACGGTCCCTATTTTGCAACGGTCTCTCCACTTCAGGAGCCAGATCACGCGCCATTTCAGCTGAACATATGTTGCCAAGAGCACAGAGCGCAAGCCCAACAATGAACTGGTTTGAGTGGTTAAGATCTCTGCCCACGTTAAGTAATAACAAATACTCTAGAAATCAGAAATAACCCATAAAAGCATCAGCAAACACAACCGGTAAGTGCAGACAGGGTGGATACTGCTTGAGAGAGTTGGTGACGAGCATGAGGACCTCCTGCCGCTCGTCGAGCAGCAGCATGAGTCCTTGATAGCCAATGCGCTTCTCGGGGAAGCCCGCGGCAGCAATAAGCTTGAGGCAAGAATATAGATTGCAGCTAGTTCCAAATCTATGTAAAATTGAAAGCAGAGCCTGTGGTACACCGAGAAGGATATGATATATGTTAGTTGTGTAGATGGGAGCATTTGCGGAGGCGCTTGTGATGGACCATCAACTGCCTTGAAACCATACCTATTGCACTTTGGTTTTCAAATGAACCTTTACGCAAGGTGTATCATTATGTTGTTCTCTAAAAATGTGATCTGAGAACAATACAGAAATGGTAAATAGCAAAGACAACAAACTAAAACTGCAATATGTGTTTCCTCACAACAGTACAAATACAACAACAGTGCCATACCTGAGGCCTAGGTGGTGCCTGCCACCTAGATATACTGAAAAGTGTTCTGATATACTGCAAGGATTGCAACGCTAATAGTTAGTAGTGTCACTAAAGTGACTCTGTCCTAGTAGAATGAAACAGCACCAACTTTTATTGGTTGCGCCTTCATAGGTGTGAGAATCAGTTGCTTCATAGGTGTGAGAACCAGTTGCTTAGAGGTGGGAAACTGAATGGTATAATGTAAGAATAATGAATTTGAGCATAGTACTGTTATGCTGATAACACATTGGGAGAAAAAACAGTTTATTCAATATTTTTCTTTGCAAATCAGCAGTTCAGAAAATTTTAATACATCCATTTTTTCCTCTGAAAATTTTCAGCTCAACTAAAGATTTATAGGTAACACATGATCCTTTTATCATGCCTAATAAATTATGTTATTGAAAAATAAAAATACTCTGAATATTTCTTTTGCATTTTTTGGTCAACCACGGGTACTGCTGTTTAGGAAGCAAATTAACCTTTTATTATCCAAATTCTTGTGTTGTTGCAGTAACCATAAAAAGTAGTCGAAATCTGTAGGAGGGAATTATATCAGATAAAAGTGTGACCTCTCTAGAGCTCTGACCTTGACCACAATTTTAATTGACTGTTAGGTTATCCGTTTTATAGAAATAGTTGAGTAATTCTGAAACCAAAAGATTTGTAGTCTACATACCATACCAGCTGGCACAAGTCCTGAAACTTGGTAAATTTAAACCTGATAATGAGCTGATATGGCAGGACAATAAAGCTAGCATGACCATCATGACTTACCACAACAACTATTCCATAAGCACATTGTAGAAGGTTCAGAACACTCCATCAGACCATCACACATGTAGTTAGAACCAGAAAAAACATTAACCTGTAGATTCCAGATACTATATAGCTGGGCTAAGCCTATGAAGAGACACTACGTGCATTTTAATTAATTAGTGTGTTGACAGGTCCCCCTAAGACCTAGCATATGTTTTGAACACGACAAGGAGGCTATTGGGCTATAGCCGTAGCATACAAAGCCACCTGATTTTGGAGAAACAGAGGGAGTAACACAATCCCAAAGCAACTAAACTCTAACCAGTCAATCTAAAACAGCACAGAAAAGAAGGCAATATATCATGTGCAAACCAATCAACCTGTGCAAACTTGGAAACTACCAATCAGGACCACTGGATGCTGATCCAATGGATGGGGTGAGGGGGCTTAAGTGCAAAAAAAAGAACGATGGCTGGGGGGCTTAAGCGTAAAAAAATCCCAACTCTCACTCTGATCGGTAGTTTCTAAGTTTGCATAGGTTAGTTGGTTTACACCTAATACGTTGCCAGGAAAGAAAGGGCCGTGGCTGTTGACTATGCCAGGGTAGGCATAGCTATAGAACACCATACATACCCAGTTTATGCGTGGTTACAGTGCTTGGATTGCACCGCCCATGTTGCTGCCAGCATGGGCGAGGAGGTGGTCCACGTCAGCCCTGTGTAGAATCGCATAGGTAGATCTGAAATTTTATGAAAGGGAAGAACAACAATAAAAATTCATTGCACTTATAAAAAAATAAAATATCTGTCCTCAAGTTCCAGCTACAACTCAAACTTAATTGCTATATAGCATACTACTATATAACATTGACATTTCGTCAAACAATTCAATGGCATAATAAGCAGTGGTAGATGTTGTAGGGCCTAGAAGCTATAGCAGTTAGAGCCATAGGCCCTGTTTGGTTGAGCTGTGGCTGTGGGAGAAAGCTGTTGTGGGCTGTGAGCTGTGGAAAAGCTGCTGTGGGCTGTGAGCTGTAGAAAAGCTGAAAGCTGTTTGGTTAAACAAGTATAAAATATACCTTTTATCTTTATCTCTCTTGAAACAACTATGGAAGAGCTTTTTATTCCACCAATTTCGAAAAGCAGAAAGTCAAAAGCCAAAAGCAGGGTCAAACCAACTTTCAAAAATGAACTACGGAAAAGCAGCTGCTTCTAAAAAAGCACCCTCCAAAAGCAGCCTCTTTGGTTGGGCTTTTGGCTTTTGAGGCCAAAAGCCAAAACCAAAAGTCCAACCAAACAGGGCCATAGTCTTGGCAGCAAGACGTTTAAGGAAGAATGAAAACACAAATAGCATAGAGCCATCATCCTAGATTTTGAACCTAGGATCATTTTAATACAGGTGGATTGTGAAGGATAAGTACTAAATAGTGTTAATGTATTTGGCTGTGAAGCAAACCAATAATTCTTTCTGGGAAGAAGCAAACCAATAAACTGATGTTAGCATTAAGATTTCTAAATACGGATAGCTGCTTAGGCAACTTAATCATTTTTGCAATCATTAACTGAACAAAGCAAGCTAAAACTGAATCAGTCACCACAGCAGATCATATAGCTTCCAAGATCAAACTCGAACAGCTAATTCCCAACTATACCACTAAAATAAGATGGCCAGACAATAAAAATTAGTCATGAGAGGATGTTCTTTCTGTTCATTATCAATTAGGAATTAGAACAATAAAAAAAGAATTTGGAAAAAAAGGGAAGGAAGCGCTAGCGTCAGAAATAAACATGGGTTCCGCTCAAGCAGTATATTAGTTTTAGACAAGGGTTCTGTAATTCCATGTCTTGCCAAAAATTACTAAAACATGGGTTCCTCTCAAGCAGTATAATTTTGTACATTTTGTTGAATGATTCAATAACCAATAACGGCAATATATAATCTTTGCATGTGGAAAAATCATTCCCTTAGTTACCTTAGTGTAAGAATCCACTAATGCTAGGTCTTCCTTTCTTCTCAGGCATCATCAAATCTTGATTTGGCTTCCAAGTTCTTCAGATGACAGCTACATAGCATAGTAAAGATTTGAAAGTAGGCAGCTATGTAAGGGAGGCATAAACTTGCTATGAACAAAAATGATGAACTAGAACCTCTTTACTAATCTTAAATCATGGCATAAAAGTGTAAATGATATGCAGTCTAATATGCCCTGGTAAGGCCTGAATTTTTTATTTTTTTTAAAACCACATGGCATAAAAAACTAGAGAAACATTCAGGATACCTAGCTGCAAGTCAAGTAAACTACATACCATTATTCTACAGTGCATAAACAGCACCTCTTGCATAATTTCCCAGTTTATGTTCTCAGGTTTATCAATAAGCAAGGATTGACGTATAAGAACCACAAAGTGACCTAGAGTATTTCCTAAGCAATAGTATCCCACAGAAGGAAGCCTTTTGATCACTGAAGGAAGCATAAACATGTTGGTAAGCTAATGAACGGACTAGTGCTAATCTTCTGATAGCTAAGGAAATGAACGCTAACTAATTAACTAGCTAATGAAAGCTAGTTAACATGTGGAAATTAAAGAAGCTTATTTTTCAGCACTTAGCAACACTTTATGATTGCTGACTGCTGACTGCTGCCCACAACAATTTCATGAAAGCATATACCTTCTGTACTGCAAAGTGACACAACTACACTACCCCCTATGGCACCAAACAAAAAACCCATGTCACAAGTACTCAAACCAGACCACGTCAATCTATCAAGAGCACACTTGGTCAACACAACACTCCATAAGCTCTACAGATTTTTAAAGAAAAAATAGAGCACTCCAAGAGCAAACAGATAATGCACACAATCTGTGAGAAAGCAGACTGAAAGAACAAATGCTAACTTTATCCTTTTCAACAACTCAACATTCTGGAATCCTACAAGCCTACTAATTAATCATTTACTTAGCCTTTTCCTCCCCCATCTGCTACCTTTACCTTTGGCCACCTAAAGTGAACGAAAACAATCGCCACCTGCTAAGATTCCTTAACCATATGTTCATGCACCACCAAATGCATTACCTTTTAGATAAAACCTATATCTGCCGTCAGTAAACCCTGAAAATTTGTGTTGCATTCATAGGGTGTAGGCCGGCAGGGCTGGTGGGCGTTGGTTAGCATGCGCTTAATGTATTACGTCTGCATTGTGTATCTCCTACTTAGAAATTAGGAGGGCAATTTCAGAAGGAAAAGAAAATGATGAATTTGCACATTGCTCCTAATGAACTAATTGAATCCGATTGAATCACCGAGAGTTTCATGGACTAGGACTTACTTGTTGCCTCTGATCTTGAACCAGGTGTCGGCGCAATGCCTGTGGGCGCTGTCGCTCCACCGTCAAAGCGCTCCTACTTGCGTGCTCCAGGTGGCGTGGTTAGCTTTGGGGGCGGCGTGCTCCAAGGGGCGGCATTGTCCACCGTGTACTCCAGGGACGGGGATTCTTGATCCATCGGCACCAGACGGAGGGGAAGGACGGCGTGGGCGGGGGGACGACAGTGCAAGATTGGCGCGTGCCACCGCACGGGTCCGCCGCCGGTGAAGCCGCTGGTCGGTGCCCAGC